AGTAGCAGGGATGACAGGCATGTACCACTGAGCCTGGCTGTGTTGGGGGTTTTAAAGCTGTTCTACCATAATCCAACTTTAAAAAACAAAACCAAAGGTCTAGCATGTAGCCCAGTGGTGCTGTGCCTGCCTGGCAAATGCAAGGTCCTGAGTGTGATATCTAGCACTGAAAAAAAAAGCACCAAGTGGTGATAGCAGATCCATCCTCAGGCAGTTGCCACTGATGGCAACTGTTGGAGGGGCACCATGGGTCTTGTGGGTGACCTCTTGCCATTTGGGACTGGAGAGGGGAGCTGCCCATCTGCAGGAGTAAGTCCCAGACAGCTGTGCAATCTGTAGTGTCCCATCAGAAGCATCACAGAGCCCCTAGGAAGACCCAAATAGGTGGCTGTCTTCTTTTCTTACTTAAATATGAAAGAACATTTGGTGTCTTCCCAGTTCATCTCAAAGAAGTTCCCTTAGGTGATGGTGGGGATGAGTCCTAGGGGCTCCCAGCATCTGCCTGGTCCTCAGAAACCTGAGCTGGCTTCAGGAGAGCAGGGTGCCCTTGGTGTATATCACCTGTGCTAGGCCCCAGGAGCACAGCTGGGATGGGAGGTGGGTGGGGGCTTCTCCGCACACAGCTGCCCACTGAGCAGGGCCACTGGTACAGGAAGACACCAAGAGTCCCCAAGAGACTTGCCACTGGCCAACACTCTCCACATCATTGCTGGTCATAGTTTGCTATGGGCTGCTTTTGCCACAATCACCAGCTAGGACAGCTTGGCCTTGAAGGCGCTGGGCCTGTGGGCCACTGTTGTTTTGCTCATTTCAATTCTCATTTTTCAGGAAAATGTTGCTTTCTCTTTCAAACACAACTTTGAAGTAGGTCATGACTACTCAGTCTTGGTGCCTTGCACCTTGGCCTTAAACTGGGTGAAGCAGAAGTAGGACTTCCCAATGGGCCTCCAGATTATACAGGTGAAGTGCTAGTAGTCTTTGCCAGACTCATTTGGCACTGCTTATTGGTCCTTCCTTGAGATATGTAAGTGAGCATACTGGTAAATTTGTTCCCAGGTCCTATGTTCTGACAGAAGGAATGCACCACTGGGCCACATGTCAAATGCCACTGTTGGGGGCTCAGATACTGCCTCTGCTGGCCTCAGAGCCAATGCTGCTAGAAGCAGCATGGCAGACCAGGCCCTGCCACAGCCATCCCTTTTCTGCCATCTTGGGATCATGTGCTGCCAGTTAGGGCAGGTGGATGATGTGCCTGAATTTTAAAGAAAAGAGAATGAGGGTTAAATAGAAAGGAAAAATATCTGGAATGAATCCAATCTTTTCCCAAAATTCCAAAATCTTTAATTAGAAAGTTTCCCTAAAATTTTTATATACTCAGTCACTCAAATATTAATCAGTTGCTGTTTATTTTCAAAGTAAATTGCTAAACAAATCTGACCATAGTAATTTCTTAGTTTCTAGCATCTGCCAAGTGTCCACTATTAAAAACTAATGAATTTTAGTGTGCCAAACCTCAATCAAAAATCTAGATTCCAGATAAATCTGTTAAGATTTTAAATTTTATTGTCTCTTTACTTTCCTTGTCTCCATGTTTGTTTTATCCTTTCAAATATTGATTTTTCTTCTCATGCAACAGAAGCAACAAAAGTAACATAGTCGGACTACCGAGACAAGTCACTGGCCACATGGACTGTACAGTCTCAGGGGGAGTCATGCTAAAAGTTATGGGAATAACATGGAGTCAGAAATATAATTCTTTATCTGAAGGTAAAAGACAGGGTGTTGTTGGAGGATGAAAAGGACAGCTAATACTTTGTGATGTCAGGGAAGAACAGGTTCAAGAAGTCTGAGTAAGTTAAATCTTCTTCTAGATTCTCCCCCAGGCAGGTACTGAGACACAGATTTGAGTGCAGGTGGCTTTTTGAGAGACTGATCTCCAGAAACTAGGCAAAAGAAGTTGAATGAGACTAGGAAAGAAAAAGAAAGAAGATGCATTAGCAGGCTGTCGTTCCTGCAGGCGGCTGGGTTCAGTCTTGGCATTTTCTGAGGAACAGTGTGGGATGTACCACAGTTTGCTAAGACAGGCAAGGTGTTTTCAGCTGACTTTCATCCCCTACTGAATCAGGGTTGCCTCTCCTCACCCTCACTTCTCCCAGCCGAGGAACTCCCATAGCTTCAAAAGAAAGCAACCAGGAATGAAGTGAAAGCAAGTAAGCAGTGGGGTGAAGTCAGAGGTTAGAAATATTCTAGGGCCCTCAGGAGGAATAGGATTTAGGTAGGAAGAGTGGGTGGGAAACAGTTCTTCACAGAAGGAAGGGTAGGCCTGAAAACCTAGGATGACAGAAGCATTTGCTGCTTTTTCTTCTAAATGACCAATTAGGATAATCAGAATTAAATGATTCAGAAGGGTGGCATGAATATGTGGCTGGATAGTGAGTCAGGTGTTCTTAAAGGACTAAGGACTTGAAGTTCTATCCTATACACAACATAGCATTGTGAGCAGGGCAATAAGATTTTTTGCAATTGAAAACATTTGTGGACAAAGACAGTTGTTTCTCTCTACGCAGTGTATATACTTTTTCTTATCTTATTGCATTAGCTAGGATTTCTTGTACGATGTTGAAAAACAGTGGTGAGGGAGCATTCTTATCTTACTTGGTTCCTAATCCTATTGGGCAAACTGCTAGTTTTTATTTTTACCATTAAGGGGTTAGCTGTAGTCTCTGTAGATGTTATTCATCAAATGGAAGATTTTACCTTCTGTTTCTGCCTGTTGTTGGCTTTTTTTAAAAAAAAATCATGAATGTGTGTTGCATTTTGTTAAATGTTCTCTCTGCATCTGTTGCTAAGATTGTGTGACCTTTCTTTTGTAACTTTTTGCTCTGATGGGTTACACCGAGTGCTTTTTGAATGGCAGTGAGATTTTTAAAAGATCTTTTTTGGCTGCTAGGAGGACACAAGATGGTGGGGTGAGAATAAGAGTGGGCATTGAGGAGATCAACTTTAAAATGCCTGATGAATCCTAGTAAGCAATGCTAAAAACACAAACTAGGCAATGGAACTAAGAAATGTTGCATTTCATACACTGGGTGAAGAGTATGTGCTGTGATTTTTTCCCCCTGGATGGATCATGTGGGAAGAGAGAAAAGGTTAAGGAAGCAGTTTTTTCTCCCACGGCTAGCTTAGCAGCTTGGTAGTGGATGGTGCTCCTGGGAGACAGTATTATAGGAATACTGGCAAATGTGTGCTGGAGTTTGTAATGTGGAGGTCCACAGGGAGCAGGTATAGAAGGGTGGAAGAAGGTGAGCTAAACCACAGCATCAGTTGAAGTTAAAGTGGACACTGGCTCTGTAGTCAATTTTTTCAAGAAGTTAAGGTATGAAACTGACTGAAGAAGTATTGTTAGGGGAAATACATGGTTTCTGGAAAGACTTTGCTGAAAGGTGGGCAAGTCCAGCACAGCTTGAATGCTGGTGGGAATGATGAAGTGTAGAACGACAAGTACAAGACGCTACCTAATCAAGGACATTACCCCAGATGTATTTTCTCTCTCCTGCAGTGCTCATTTTTTTCAGTATCAGTTTGATGTGGTCAAATCTGTACACAAATTTATTCTCTCTGTGTGTAAAACTCCTCAAGCTATTGCCCATTTTCCTAGTCCCAACGGAGTTGTCCACACCCAGTGACTTCCCCTGTGGCTCTGCGAAGGCCCACGAAGATTTCACCTCTACATTCTCATGAAGTTACTGTAATCAAAGTCACTAAGGATTTAGCTCGACAAATCAAGCTGTATATGATCAACCCTCATCTTGACCTACCAACTCTATTTGAGACAAATGACCCCTTCTTTAACTTTGCTTCAGGAAAACTTCCTGTCCTTCCCTTTCCTCTCTGACCACATCTCCCCACTTTCCAAAAGTTGGGGCACCTCCTGGCCTAGTCCCCGACCCCCTTCTCTGACCTCCCATCCCCTTCAGGCCCTCTTAGGTCTGTTAACATCTCAAACTTCACTTGCCTGAAGCTGCAGGACACCACTCAGCAAGGATTCCCCAGACAGGTCTCCATCTCATCTCTGCAGCTCCTACCATCCAGCCTGCAGACCAATATCTTGGAGCTACTCTGCACCTACCTGTTTCTGTCAGGGCCCAGTGTGATCAGGCCCATTTGCTTTGCCTTTGCCTCTTCCCGTGCCAACACTCCTACTGAGATGCTGGCAACGTCTTTCCCGCTGCTGTTGATTCAATGTGTCTCCCACTTCCCCCCACTGAATTCTACTCAGAACAGCGGTAAAGCCGCTTCTCAAAGGCTCATGGGGTCGCGGCTGCTCTGGGTAGGGACGACGCTTGACTTTCAGCTCCTTCTTTGGGGTCTCTGGCGGTCGCTCCAGATTCCGAGTCAGACGCCCTCCGCGTCTTTCGGCTCTGAGAACTGCTCACACCTGCTCACAACGTGCTCCAAGAATCCTCGACCAACGCGACTGGCTGCGCCGCCTGCTTTTGTTTTCTCCACAGCTCTCGTTCTGGGATGCTGGATTTCGCTTCTTTCGTGCAGAGGAGCGCCAGACACAGACACTCGCGACCGTGTTTCTGGAGACGCGAGCTCAAGGAAGCAGAGTCTGCGCCGAGCGAGGGGTGGCTCGGCGACAGGGCCGGGCGGGAGCAGAAAGGGTGGCGGGCACCGGGAAGCGAAGCCGAGTGACACGGAGGGGCAAGGAGGACGCGCGCGGGGAAAGTACTTATCGCCCTTCAAACTTCAGGCCTCTGCCCTCGCAGCTACAGCGCCACTCAGGGCCAGCACCTGGAGTTCTGGGGTCCTGGACGCAGTAGCAGAGCCGACGGACCGAGAGAAGCCGACTAGCCTTGCGCCCAGCTCACTGCGCAGACTCAGAGGCGGAGTTTCAGGGGCGGGGTCCGGGAGCCGGGGTCACGCCCACAGCCTCGGTGCGAGCCAATCATAAGAGGAGACTCGGATACGGATTGGGTCCTTCTGCTGGAGTAGGCGGACGTAGCCAGGCGGAATCCGGAAGCGCCGGCACTTGTTGGGCCAGGCTTTCGGAAATGTCTGAGCGCCGGAGACACGGTAGGTGGAGGGTGTTCGCGAGGCGACCCTGTGAGGGGGTCTGGGTGGCCCTGAGGACAGTGAGAGGCAGTGAGGGGAACGAGGGACTGTGGGACTGTGGAGCTGTGGGGAAAGCGAGGCGCCTGAGTAGGCCTCGAGGGGATTGGAAGGAAAGAGGGGCCTTAGGGATCCATGAAGGGAGTAAAGGTCCTGGGGCCGGTGAGGGGCGGCGAGGGCTGTGGGGGATTCGGGTCGCCACCTTGCAGGCGCTGCGCTGTCCTAGACCTCCCTGGCGGAGCAGGACGCCCGAGTCTCAGTTTCTTCCCATTCGCAGAATCCCTGGTGCCCTCACTCTGCGGGAAGTTCTCCTGGGGTGGGTTTTCCCTATTTTGCAAATGTTTTTACCTTTTAAAATGAAAAGCCTGTGGCAGTTGGGGTTAAGACATATTTGCAAAAGAATAAAGGGGCCTAGTTCACCCCAGTGAGCCTGAATGGTAGGCACTTAGCATCCCCTGCTGAGTCGGGCCAGCCAGAGCTCCTGGCTCCAGCTTTGTGGCCTCAGAACTGGGGATCAGCTCGCAGTTGTGCAGATGTGCGGCTGCAAAACTAGTTGCGCGAAACTGGGGTTAGAACCTCCACTGGGAGAAGGTGGACGCGTCCTGTTGATTAAACACATTTTTGGAGGAATAGACTTGAAAACTCTCACGTTCGGGTTGCTTGTATATCTCACTTTCTCTTGCATTTTTCTTGTTTGTGATCTTTATAAGCCTAAAAGTAAGTGCTCTTTCCTTTGCAAGAAATTATATCGTTTGTAATGTACTTAGTCAACTTCAAAACCCTCTCATTCGTCACGAAACTTTTACCCTTGAAATAAACTCCTTTCCATATTGAGTATGTGACAAAATTGTCAGGTAAAATTTAGGTTAAGAACATTGTGATTGGAAAGATAAATCCTGAAAGTATGAAATATAAGTGGAAAACAAAATATTGACAAGAGCACCTGAAGAACCCTCTGCAGGGAAACACTGAGCCTATGAAAACTCTTATAGGAGGCATGAGTTGGAATAAACAGTCTAAGTGCTTACAATTTATTGAATCAGGAAACCAGAGCTAATATGTCTTTTGAAGTTTTCCCCCTTGTGTCACTTGTGATGAGCATTACAATTAGGAAAACGTGTGGCAGGTGATGGAGATGATGGCTTGTTGCAGATTTGCACTACTCACTTTCCATGTGCTCCTCAAGAACATTAGGTCCCAGACAGTGGGAAGAGGTACATGGAGGAGATGAGCAGTTTTGCATAGGTCAGGTACACATAGGCAGAACTCTAGTGGTGTTTAGCCACCATGTGTGTCAGCTGCTTTAGCATTAGGGAACAAAGGAATCAGACGTGAAATCCCTTCCCTCTTCCTGCTGAGACCCTGGTGCAGTTCAGAGCTGTGCTCTTGGTGAAGACAGATAAATAAGAGAGCCAGACTTTTCTCTCACTGGGCCCTGACATTGTTGGAGACCAGAGGAGAATCAAGGCCTAATTGGCCTCAGTGAGCACAGAAGAGAAAGGCTGCACTCAGGGATGATTGCATATTAGGAAAAAGTTAGACAGCTGAGGTTAAGTTTTTACCAGATTATGTACTAATGGAATTGGAAAGCAGATGAATCTTGTTTTACTTTGAGACTTGGATACAGATTGTACTTTGTACCCATGTCTGGGTAAGTAAAGGCAAGATGAGCCAGGCACGGCTTCTCTGCCTACTAGAAACATGAGCTCCCTGGCTGCCTGCATGATAAGCTAACTCTGTGTCTTGTATTTAGGTCTAGGAACAGGGCCAGTTGGCTGGGTCAACCACCCACAGCTCTCTTCCTGGAATGCTGGGTCCCACTCCTTTCCTGCAGAAGAGGGCCAGACATGGACACTTGCGACTGTGTTTCTGGAGCTACAAGCTCAAGGAAGCAGAGAGCTGGGTGGACCCCCAAGATGGGGATCAGGACCTGGACTTGCCTGTGGTTTGTGCCCAGACAGAACAGGGAACTCGGGGCTGGATGTGCCTATGTGACATGAACCAAGAAAGCTGGAAATGGGCAGAGGAGCAGTGTCCAAAGCAGTGATTCTTAAGTTGTAGGGTTTTTTGGAGGGAAGAATGGATTTCTTCTGCTAGGAAATGTAACCTGCTGATGTAACTTTTTTGTATGGCAATTTGTAACAAAACTTTAAAGGATTAATGGGAAGAATGATTATCTTTTAGATGTGCTCTATTTTGTGCTGTAGAAATGTCTGAGCGGTGCTTGCAGTATCTTTCTTGGGCCTCTTGAGAGTTACCATGCAGCTCTGATAATGGACAACTTTCTCTAATTGAAGAGGATCACATGTAGGGTAACGTGTATTGAGTGGGATTTAAGTGGCTTCTATTCTACTTGGGGAGATTGGGTGGTGCTGACATACAGTATAACTAAATGTTAACTTTGGTAAGGCTGTGTCTGGCACACAGGGTTATAGTGGAGTCTGGAAGCTTCAGGGGCTGCACCTCCCCCAGGGCTGTGGAATTCTGTAAAGAGCACTGTGTCATCTTCTGATCCTGCCTCACACACTCCTGGCCTCAGTAGCTGCTCAGTTAACTGGGAATGAATGGCTTATGTTCAGCATCTGCCTCATTGAGCTTTTCTGATACTTCCTTACCAGATGGTTCTTGAGTTCTTGTCTGAGCAACTTCATTTAGGAACAGAATATTTCATGAGGTAACGTGAAAAATTTGTTTTCTCCATGGACATAACTTGCTGTTTAGAGTGCATGGAATGAATATACATATATAATACCTCTTCACTGGATAATTCTTCAGAGATTTTGAGCATCTCTTTCATTCTTCTCATCTCTCCGGCCCCTACTATGTTAAACAACTTATTTAACACAGTGGGGAACATTTCTTAGCAGAGGCAAAATGAGTTGCACTTACTAGACAGATAGTGCTCAGTGCCAGAGTGGAGGTGAGTACCAAGTGCAAGTTGAGGCCATCTCTGGGCCAGGCTCTGCACTAGGAAAGGGACTGCAGGGTTCCTGGCCTGCTTATGTCTTTGGAGTCACCCTTGGACAGGCCTACCTCAAGCTCTTGTTGCTGTGATTATGCAGTAGGGTAAAAAGGAGTGAGTAAATTTAAGACCATAGCAGCCATAGACCCTTCTTTCTAACATCAAGACAGAAATAGTGATTCCAGCTTCCTGGTGTCATAAGGAAGAAGTAGATGAATGTATAAAGTCACTTTTCACACCCCTCTTACTGTCTCCTCTAGTGAGGGCCACCAAAACCTGTCATTGGATAACTGCTGTGTTGCTGTCAGCCTAGTGGGCTGGAGGGGCAGTTTGTGACGTTGGAGAAGGCAGCTGTTACAGGCAGTTCAGTTGTCTTTTAATAAGAATTTGTTTTGCCATGATCACTTCTTCGCAGGGCATCCAGGCTTGGTCTTCGGTAGGGTCCCCTTCTGGGAGCCAGGAGGACAGGGCTGAGATTGGGGCAGCTATAGTCACTGATCTTTGTCTTCCTGGGACTCTCCTTAATAAGATTTGCACTGTGAGTGGCCTTGGTACATTTCAGAGTCCAGGTCCAGTTTGCCACATCTCTCTCTTCTAGTACATGCACTTGGGAGTGGATTGTCTGGAGTCACAGAATTGTTGGTACTTTTCATGGTGGTGGTGCTGGATCTTGTGTTGCTGAAGCCCTGGTAGTCAGTTGGGAGGGAATGTCTGTGTGTGTGTGTGTGTGTGTGTGTGTGTGTGCGCGCGCGCGCGCGTGCATACCTGTGTGCCTTTAGATGTGCTTATATGTGTTGTGTGCATGTTTCTCCAATTATTCCCTCAAACTTGGTTGCACCACCAGGTCTCTGAAGTCTAAGAACTAGAGGGGCTGATAAGGATGCTTTTCAATTGAAAGGAGACTTGTTTTTCCTTTTTGGTTGCTTTCCTCATGCTGCCTGGATACAAGGTGACTCTTTAAGGTCAGAGCTTTGATTCTGGTCATGTCTGTGGCTTCTGCACAGAGTTAGACAGGAAACCACTGACAGTGTTTATGTCACTGTGTTATTCTGTGTATAGACATAACATGCCTTTTTCTTTCTGGAATAGGAACTGGGTAGCTCTTTTTCTTCTCAGAGATCATTGAGGATTGAGAACATGCTCAGGAAGTATTGCCTGAATGAATAAGTAAACCAGGCTTATGCAGAGAGAGGGAGTTCAGAGAACACTGGTAAAATACAACTTTACATAGAGCCCTAGTCAAGGAGAAGCTTCAGTCTAGGTGGTAGGAACTGGGAAGCCAGTGTGGTTTCTAAGGAGAATAGAGTAGGTGCTATGATTCTGAAAAATAAACCTGAAGTTGGCAGGTAAGTGTGGGAAAGGTATTGGAGAGCTGTGGAAAGGCCAATGACAGTAGAAGGAGGGACTGGTAGGGATGGATATAGAAGGATTTCCAAGAAGAGGACATGAACAGCTGCTGAGACTTGAAGCAGATACCCAGGGACAACTTCTAGACTGGACAAGAGTCATAGCTGGGTGTGACTAAAGACTGGAGGAGAAGGAGCCTGAGTAAAAGGGAATAAAGTGCCATGAGGGTTTCTTCCTCAGGTGGCACATTGAGGCCAAGGACACTGTGGGAATTGGTCTCCATATTAAATCCCGCCTGATCAAGTGCCCCACAGCCGATTCTCTGTAATTTGCAAGCACTACATCTGTTAAGTGGGCAAGCACAATGGTGTGTTGTGAGCAATTGGTCACATAATGTACATCGTGTATGAAGGTCTACAGAGACAGATAGCTGGTTGCTGTCACTGGCCTTGTTCCCCAGTGTGCGGGGGACAGGGAGGTGTCAAAGACCTGTGTTTGCCTGTGAGGAAAGAACAGCACAGGTAGTGAGAGGCAGGAAGCAGGTGAGGCTTCTTTGTTACCTTGTTAAACATGCTTGCATATTTAAGACAAGAAAAAAAGGCCAACACCCAGAAATTAGAAGATCCTGCAATGAAGAAGACACAGTCAGGAGTAA